TCAGTGGTTACATTTTCACATTCATTTTTATTTGTTTTCTGGTACTTGATGTTTGTCATCAAATATAGATTTGGCAACAGAGATCTGTGGACTGATTTGTTGGGATTAAGGAAACAGAAGGTAAAATTCTATTTAAAGACTCGATTTGATGATGATACATTTTTAACTTCTTTATGACCAGCTATGTTGCTATCGTGAAGAATCAACCTGATCCTCTTAGTATAGGCAGTAGCAGAACAATCATCTGCTTCCCACTACACCATCTGGAGAAAGCTGCTGGTTGAATGACTTTATATATGATGCATGAGAGACTAATAAAAAAAGCAAACCTTTTATTATAAAAGTTTGAGATCTCAGAACTCCTCAAGCCACCACAGTCTTCGAATAATGTTTTCTCAATGGCTTTGGGCCAATTACTTAGCCTCTTTACCTCAGCTTCTCAATTGGAAAAATGGGAACTGTTATAGTGTGATTAATTTATCTCCTAAGGGGGTTGTTTATATTAATTAACTGCTGTTAAGGGCTTTGAAGATGAAAAGTGCTAACTGCTTATGTCATGATTACCCATGGAATAGTGGAATATGATAACTGCTTCGCTAGATAAATGACTAAACCTGATACGCACAAACTGTGAAATCAGTAGGAGGGGTTAAGAACCCGGGCAATGAGACAGCTGAGGAACTAAACTCATCAAGGAATATATTAGTTTTGTGTTAGCCTTGATTAAAGCTGTTTAAACTAACTTCTGAAATATACGTTTAAAATTTCTTAATGCAGGCATCACATTTTGCTTTGCCAGTACCTATAATGACATTTCTTTCATTATATATTTTCTCTATAAACCCAAATAAATCTGCCTCGACTCATATTCTAGAAGATACTGATTATTTCAAGTTACTCTTTTTGAGTGTGCTCATACCCACCCACACATGACACGCAGATTGTTATTTTTGACAGGGTAGAACATTCTCCTTCTTATTTGCAGTGTTCGAAGAAAATCAAATACATGAGTGGAGCATAAATGGCTATTGCTTTTATCTAATTTTATATCTAAAATTATACTTTAAGTTCTGGGATCCATGTGCAGAACATGCAGGTGTGTTACATAGGTATACATGTGCCATGGTGGTTTGCTGCACCCATCAACCTATCATTTACATTAGGCATTTCTCCTAATGCTATCCCTCCCCTTGCCCCCCTCACCCACCAAAAGGCCCCAGTGTGTGATGTTCCCCTCCCTGTGCCCATATGTTCTCACTGTTCAACTTACCAGTGAGAACATGTGGTGTTTGGTCTTCTGTTCCTTTATTAGTTTGCTGAGAAAGATGGTTTCCACCTTTATCCATGTCCCTGTAAAGGACATGAACTCATTCTTTTCTAGGGCTGTATAGTATTCCATGTTGTATATGTGCCACATTTTCTTTATCCAGTCTAACACTGATGGGCATTTTGGTTTGTTCCAAGTCTTTGCTATTGTGAATAGTGATGGAACAAACATACGTGTGCATGTGTCTTTATAGTAGAATGATTTATACTCCTTTGGGTACTTACCCCATGTGGGATTGCTGGGTCAAATGGTATTTCTAGTTCTAGATCCTTGAGGAATTGACACACTGTCTTCCACAATGGTTGAACTAATTTACACTCCTGCCAACTGTGTAAAAGTGTTCCTATTTCTCCATATCCTCTCCAGCTCTGTTGTGTCCTGACTTTTTAGTGATCGCCATTCTAACTGGCATGAGCTGGTATCTCATTGTGGTTTTGATTTTCATTTCTCTAATGACCAGTGATGATGAGCTTTTTTTCCATAAGTTTGTTGCCTGCATAGATATCTTCTTTTGAAAAGTGTCTGTTCATATCCTTTGCCCACTTTTTGATGGGGTTGTTTTTTTTTTTTTTTTTTTTTTTGTAAATTTGTTTAAATTCCTTGTAGATTCTGGATATTAACTGTTTGTCAGATGGATAGATTGCAAAATTTTCTTCCATTCTGTAGGTTGCCTGTTCGTTGTGATGATAGTTGCTTTTGCTGCACAGAAGATCTTTAGTTTAATTAGATCCCATTTGTCAATTTTGGCTTTTGTTGACATTGCTTTTGGTGTTTTAGTCATGAAGTCTTTACCTATGCCTATGTCCTGAATGGTGTTGCATAGGTTTTCATCTAGGGTTTTTATGGTTTTAGGTCTTATGTTTAAATCTTTAATCCATTTTTAGTTAATTTTTGCATAAGGTGTAAGGAAGGGGTCCAGTTTCAGTTTTCTGCATAATGGCTAGCCAGTTTTCCCAACACCATTTATTAAATAGAGAATCTTTTTTCCATCGCTTGTTTTTGTCAGGTTTGTCAAACATCAGATGGTTGTAGAAGTGTGGTGTTATTTCTGAGCCCTCTGCTCTGTTCCATTGGTCAATATCTCTATTTTGTTACCAGTACCATGCTGTTTTGATTACTGTAGACTTTTAGTATAGTTTGAAGTTAGGTAGTGTGATGCCTCCAATTTTGTTCTTTTTGCTTAGAATTGTCTTGGCTATATAGGCTCTTCTTTTGGTTCCATATGAAACTTAAAGTAGGTTTTTCTAATTCTTGAAGAAAGTAAATGGTAGCTTCATGGGGATAGCATTGATTCTGTAAATTACTTTTGGCAGTATGGCCATTTTCTTAATATTGATTCTTCCTACCCATTTTCATGTTTTTGCATTTGTTTGTGTCTTCTATCATTTCCTTGAACAGTGATTTATAGTTTTCTTTAAGGAGATCCTTCACAACCCTTGTAAGTTGTATTTCTAGGTATTTTATTCTCTCTGTAGCAATTGTGAATGGTAGCTTACTCATGATTTCACTCTGTTTGTCTATTATTGGTGTATAGAAATGCTTGTGATTTTTGCTCATTGATTTCGTATGCTAAGACTTTGCTGAAGTTACTTATCAGCTTAAGGAGATTTTGGGCTGAGGCAATGGGGTTTTCTAAATATGCAATCATGTCATCTGCAAACAGATATAATTTGTCTTCCTTTCTTCCTGTTTGAATGCTTTGTATTTTTTTCTCTTGCCTGATTGCCCTGGCCAGAACTTCCAACACTATGTTGAATAAGAGTGGTGAGAGAGGGCATCCTTGTCTTGTGCTGGTTTTCAAAGAGAATGCTTCCAGCTTTTGCTTTCAGTATGATATTGAGCCAATGAATATTTAAGGATATTAATTTACTTCCTCTAATAGTCTTTTAAGAAATCCAAAAAATAAACATGGAATAAAGAAATAAAATGTCAAACTTCAAGCTTCAGCTCTGACTGAGGACTGTGTTTTGGCATTGACCGTATCATTACCTGCCTAGTTATGAGGTTGTACTTCTGCATAGCTCGTTAGAATTTACCTTTAATTTTATAGCAAACCATAACTGTAAGGCCAGTGTGTTCTTGTCAACGTTTATTGCGTGGGCATAAATTTTTCAAGGGTGTATATTAAAGAAAAGTAAAAGGACAGAGTCTCTCCAAAGTTCTTTGGATTAAGAGTCTTAATGATACTTTAAAATATTTCATTCAGAGTATCATTTTGGGAACTTTCTCTAGCATTCTAATGATCCACAGATGATATTTAATACCAATTCATTTTGAGACAATTAATAGACTTAAAATTTTTTCTCAAGTTTTCTTTCCTTACTTATGTATATGCCACTTTGTTTTTAAAAAGGATTTAAGGAATACTTCTTTATTAGAACATGCCTTCTCTATATTGCAATATAATTCTCAAAGCTGAGGAACGTATCCATAGTGGGATATGGGAAAGCACAAATTTAGATTAATTCTCATTAAAATGCTTAGTATTCATGCCTTAGAGATATCACAGTGTAGTAAAAAGCATATCAAATTTTTAGTCAAAAATCTGATTTTCATTCTCTGGCACTTACTTGATGGTGCAATTTTGACAAATCTTTTGACATCAGTATTCCTACCTATAAGCTGGAAATAATATCTTCATCATAGACTTACTGTAAGGATTAAATAATTAATGTTTATGAGAGAGTGTCTGGCGTCTGGTAGGCACTGCACACATTTTATTGAACCGTTTCGGCCAGTAAAAATCCCTACAAAAGGGCCACTTCATATTTTTACCTAAAAGCTTGTGCTTGCATCAGTTCTGTTTCTGTAAATAGTTCATTGATGAATGGTTCCTACAACTATAATGTGGTTGTAGCTTTCTCATGCCGTAACATTTATCTTAAAAGCTAATTTTATTTTATTTTCCTTCCCTCCCTCCCTCCCTCCTTTTCTTTCTTTTCCTTCCTTCCTTCCTTCTCTTTCTTCACTTTCTCTCTTTCTCTTTTTCTTTCTTCAGGGTCTTGCTGTATCACCCAGGCAGGAGTGCAGTGGTGTGATCATGGCTCAGTGCAGCCCGGCCCCCATCGCTCAAGCAATCTTCTCTCCTTCTGAGTATCTGAGACCACAGGTGCACACCACGATGCCTGGCTAATTTTTGTATCTTTTGCGGAGACAGAGTCTCACTATGTTTCCCGGGTTGGTCTTGAATTCCTTGGCTCAAGTAATCCTTCTGCCTTGGCATCCCAAAGTGCTGGGATTACAGGCATGAGCCAATGCATGGAAAATGCTAATTTTCTTTTAAAGAATTTAATTTTAAGGGGAAAAAGGCTTGTCCTTAATTATTTTTCAATTGAGAAATCAGTGGTTTAAAGGAGGCATCCTACGACTTCATTTTAAACATAATCTTTCAGAATGATGAATGAGGGTTTACTTTATGACTTGAGTTTGTTTAACAGCGTAAACTTTTACAGCCTTGATGTGTCCCTGAATTCTGTTTTCAGGCTTCAGCTACCACTTCAATGAATAAAGCATCGGTCCCTTAGACAAGTGACAAGGAAATCCTCATCTAACCTTAAAAAGAGAGAGAAAGGAATGGGGAAGTGCCTAAGCCTAACAGAGGAGTCAGTCTTCTCAGAATCCAAGCCCAGATAAATATTTGAACGGGAATGGTATCTTCCTATGTGTGGCGGAAGATGCGTCCCTTTCTGGCCGCAATTTTTGGCAGGCTGGCGTGTTGACTTTATCACCTCGGGATCACTCGGGTTTCGGACGCGTAGCCGCGGGCTTCCGCTTGCGCATGCGCACAGCCCCGCTTGTGGCTCGCCAAGACCAGGCCGCAGGCGCAGTCCCGAGAGTGCTCTAGGAACAGCTCCTGGCGGTCTTCCGCCTTGGACCCCAGCCTTCAACTTCCCATCCCTGCTGCTTAATCAGCCTTCACCAAACGTCATTTTAGCTATATCTGCTTAACATTCCTGGAAGTCAGAAGTCTTTGCACAGCAGATAGAACCGACGACATCCCTATCGGAAGATCAGCTCAGCTTTCCTCATTTCAGTCTGGGGGTAAAACTCCATACGTTTGGATTAAATGGGAGGAAAAGCAAGAGGCAGATAAAAATGTTTGCAGGTTCGGGTTGTAGACCTAAAAAGGTTTTAAAAGATGTGTAGACCACAGCAGTCTGGTAAATACAGATCTTTAACAAGGTCCGCTTGTTGACACAGTGCAGCGGGCAGTTTAAAACGCCATTTGGGAGGTACTTTAACCGTCCTACACGTGGATACCACCCAGGTTGCCCACTTTATTGGCTGGCATCTAAGAGAGAGATGGATTCAAGAGGCCATTTCTGGGGGCAGAACACTCTGGTACCCAGTGCTCAGATTCTCACCACCAGTGGCCCCCAACCCCATGACCTGATGAGGCGGATGCCCAAGAGTTAGTTTGAAGAATGTCATCACGCTCTTAGATGAAGTAAGAATGCCAGACATAATGTATTATCCAAATGAGAACCATCTGTTGTTTGTAAGTATTTTTAAGTATTTGCAAAGTTTTCAAAAAATAGTTTTGCTTGCTTTTGAAAGTCACTCCATGACAAAATGATTATGTCACATGCCTTTTCTTAGTTCATTTCAGGCTTTATCTTTGAGAGATTAAGAATTTTAATTATTATGATTGTTATATTAAAGTAACAAATCATTGTTTATCATTAGCATTTTGATCCACTTGCCTTTTTGAACTGGATCTCTCCCCCTTGCCATAAGCTTTGTTCTTTCAGCTAGACTTCATTATTTTTTTAAATTTCAGCAGGTTACTGGGAAACAGGTGGTGTTTGGTTACACAAATAAGTTCTTTACTGGTGATTTCTGAGATTTTGGCGCATCTGTCACTCAAGCAGTGGACACTATACCCATTGTGTTTTCTTATTACTCTTCACCCCCTCCCACTTTCTGCCACCCAGTCCCCAGAGTCCATTGGATCATTCTTATGCCTTTGCATCCTCATAGCTTAGCTCCCACTTATAAGTGAGAACATATGATGTTTGATTTTTCCATTCCTGAGTTACTTCACTTAGAATAATGGTCTCCAACCCCATCCAGGTTGCTGCAAATGCCATTATTTCATTCCTTTTTATGGCTGAGTAATGCATGTTGTGTATTTTATATTTATATTTATATATATATATGTGTGTGTGTGTGTATGTGTGCGTGTATAAAATACACACCATGTATATATATATACATTATATATATACAGCATGTATATACATACACATATCTATTATATGTTTGTGTGTGTGTGTATATGTGTGTGTGTGTGTGTGTGTATATATATATATATAATTTTATCCATTTGCTGATTGATGGGCATTTGGACTGGTTCCGTATTTTTGTAATGGCAAATTGTGCTGGTATAAACCTGCATGTGCAAGTATCTTTTTCATATAATGACTTCTTTTCCTCTGGGTAAATACCCAGTGGTGGGATTGCTGGATCAAATGGTAGTTCTACTTTTAGTTCTTTAAGGAATCCCCACACTGTTTTGTACTAGTTTACATTCCCACCAACAATGCAGAAGTGTTCCCTTTTCACCACATCCACACTGACATCTATTATTTTTTGATTTTTTGATTATGGCCATTCTTGCAGGAGTAAGACGGTATCACATTATGGTTTTGATTTGCATTTTCCTGATAATTAGTGATGCTGAGCATTTTTTCATATGCTTATTGGCCACTTGTATATGTTCTTTTGAGAACCGTCTATTTATGTCCTTAGCCCAGTTTTTGATGGGATTGTGTTTCTTGCTGATTTGTTTGAGTTCCTTGTAGATTTTGGATGTTAGTCCTTTGTTGGATGTATAGATTGCGAACATTTTCTCTCATTCTGTAGGTTGTCTGTTTACTCTGCTGATCTATTCTTTTGCTGTGCAGAAGCTTTTTAGTTGAATTAAGTCCAATCTATTTATTTTAGCTTTGTTGCATTTGCTTTTGGGTTCTTGGTCATGAAGTCGTTGCCTAAGTCAATGTCTAGAAGGGTTTTTCCAATTTTATTTTATAGAATTTTTATGGTTTCAGGTCTTAAATTTAAGTCCCTGATCCAACTTGAGTTTATTTTTGTGTAGGGTAAGAGGCGAGGATCCAGTTTCATTCTCCTACATGTGGCTAGCCAATTATCCCAGCACCATTTATTGAATAGGGTGTCCTTTCCCCACTTTATGTTTTTATTTGCTTTGTCAAAGATCAATTGTCTTTCAGCCAGACTGAGAGGGTTGGCAAGGCCCAGGTCTTCAATAGTCAACAAAAACAGGAATATGATGTTCATTCTAGTACTCAGCTTATTCCTCAGAGCAAAGGCTGGAATAAATAACCAATTTTAAAATAAGAAAAGTGGTTTGGGCTAGGTGCAGTGGTTCATGCCTGTAATCCCAGTACTTTGGGAAGCTGAGGCAGGCAGATCATTTGAGGTCCTGAGTTCAAGACCAGCCTGACCAACATAGTGAAACCTCATCTCTACTAAAAATACAAAAAATTAGCTGGGCATGGTGGTCACATCTGTAATCTCAGCTTCGTGGGATGCTGAGGCAGGAGAATTGCTTGAACCTGGGAGGCAAAGGTTGCCATGAGCCAAGATCACACCACTGCACCTGGGAGACAGAGCAAGATTCCCTCTAAAAAAGAAAGAAAGAAGGAGCGGCGGGGAGGAGAGAGAGAGAGAGAGGAAGGGAGGGAGGGAGGGAAGGAAGGAAGGAAGGAAGGAAGGAAGGAAGGAAGGAAGGAAGGAAGGAAGGAAGGAAGGAAGGAAGGAAGGAAGGGAAGGAAGGAAGGAAGAAAAGTGGTCTGATTTTTGCAAAGCATGAAAGCATTCACCCAAATTTGCAAAGCTAGGGTCTAATAAACCTGCCAGTGACTTTGTGGACAATTTATGAGCTTTTTACAAAGATAGATAGAATTAAATGAGATAATGTTTGTAGAGGATTGCACATAGAGTCTGGCACACAAGGTAACCCTAAATTTAAAAAAAGCAATTATAGGCTGGGCACAGTGGCTCATGCCTGTAATCCCAGCATTTTGGGAGGCAGAGGTGGGCAGATCACGAGGTCAAGAGGTTAAGACCAACCTGGCCAACATGGTGAAACCCCATCTCTACTAAAATTACAAAAATTAGCTGAGCATAATGGCGCATGCCTGTAGTCCCAGCTACTCAGGAGGCTGAGGCAGGAGAATCGCTTAAACCCGGGAGGTGGAGGAAGCAGTGAGCTGAGATCATGCCACTGCACTCCAGCCTGGTGACAGAGTGAGACTCCATCTAAAAAAAAAAGAACAATTACAAGGCTGATAATACTGCTTGGTATAACAAGCCTCCAGATTTTATTGAAATCAAAGAGTGGGAGAAGTGGAAGATCATGTTAACCATTGCTCATATAGCTGTTCTGCAGTGCTCTGGAACTTCTTGGATCCCTGTGAAAACATCTCCCTTTGTTGTTATAGTCAGATTTACTCTGGAGAAACATTCTACAGCATTTCTCAAACTGCATTGGCTTGTGCCTGTCTGGCATTAACCATATGCCAGTAAGAATAGTTTGGGTTTTACTGAAAGTTGGATAAAGGTCTGGGGTCTTATCATTTGGGTCCCCAAACAGTCAACTTTGGCTTTGGCTAGCAAGTTTCCTCCAGACTTTGGTAGATTCACATCCTGGGTTTCCCAGGATAGCGTCATCAGTTTGTAACTCACTTCGTTGCCCTGACTCTATTCTTGACCAACCTGCGGTGTAAGAACCTTGGCTCCTAGTGGTTGTTCAAGACTTGGCAGGTGGGCTAAACTCTAAGATGCTGTTTTACAAGACGGGAGATCTTGCTCTGGCTGGAGCTGGATGCAGCAGCTTCACTGAGGTGGTAGATTGCAAGTAGCAGAGGGGAGGCAGGAATGTGCCAGCTCAGTCTGAAACTGGCTCAAGTCCCAAATCATCATTAACTTTTCCAAGAGTGAACCCCAATTCAATGACCAACCTCAAGCCAGCCTTCGGAACTTGGCATCACTGTCGAAGAGCCAGACCCCACCAGGACTGGAAATGCCTTCAGGTACACTGGGCCTGCAGACTCAGTGAGTAGCTGTCCACTTCTGTGGCCTGATAATGGTTAGCTCTGTATTCCCACCCAAATCTCACCTGGAATTGTAATAATCCCCATGTGGCTAGGGCGGGACCAGGTAGAGTTAACTGAATCATGGGAACAGTTTCCCCCGTGCTGTTCTAGTGATAGTGAGTGAGTTCACACGCGATCCAATAGTTTTATAAGGGGCTTTCTGCTTTGCTTGGCACTCCTTCTCTCTCCTGCCACCCTGTGAAGAGGTGCCTGCCACCATGCTTGTAAGTCTCCTAAGCACCCTCCCCCAACACCCACCCCACAGCCATGTGGGACTGTGAGTCAGTTAAACCTCTTTTCTTTATAAATTACCCAGTCTCAGATATTTCTTCATAGCAGCATGAGAATGAACTAGTACATGGCCATTGTGATTTCAAGAAAGCAAACCCTCAAATTTTAGAATCAATGTACCAAAGTCTTAGTCTTACCTGAGGATACCAGATGCCTCCTAACAGCCTCTTTTCAGAGAGCAGAAGCAGAGAGTTACTCTCCGTTACTTGTCACTTTCTGTTTTTCTGTCCTTGTGCCCTTGTGGATGATTGGGTTGTATGTGTTGGATGGGGGATGTGGATTTCATAAGCCTACACCAGGACAAGTTGGGCAGTGAAGCTGACCTGAGGCGGGGGGACTGAAATCACAGCCTTCTCAACATAGAATGTAGCATCCTGGTTATGACTGAGGCCAGCTTGAGGGCAACTTGGGAGGGTTGGCTCTCCCTCCCCTTTTCTTGAGCCTTAATCCTTTTCCTTCCTGCCTCACTTCCCACATTTCCACCATGCTCTTTATATTTCATCTGTGGCTTTTTAAAAGCCCCCAAAGATATGCATCAGGCTGTTAGTACCGGTTAATCTCAGTGAGGATATTTTCACTTTAAAAGCTCTCTACATTTTTGCGTAATATTACTTGTTGCTTTAAGGATTTATTACTTCTGAAATTAAAAAAAAAAAGTTAATCTGCTATGAGAAACAAGAAAAAAACTAAAATAAAAAAAGAACAAAAAACAAGTTAATAAATATATATATATTTTTCCTTTACCAATCCCCTCCTCCAAGGCTTCTGGCTCAAAAGTGATTCTTCCTTCTATCCTCAATCAACATTTTTATTTCCAGAATGCTGGCTTTTCATCTAGATAGTGATCAAACTATTCGGTTAAAGTAATTTCTCTAATGTGTGTGTGAGGCGTGTTGTTGGGTGATGTTGACATTGACGATTATCCAAGGTGTGTCCGGAGGGCATTTGCGAGCACATTGGCCTGGGGGGTAACCCCTACTGCTGGCTTCATTTAGAAGCTTGAGCATGTTACTTCAAAGGCCTGTATCTCTTGCTTAATTCTTCATCTAACATGCCTAACTAAGAAAATAATACTACTCTGCTTGCTAACCTTACAAAAATACATTTTGCTCTTAGTCTGTGATTGCCCATTGTGGAAATGGTGGTGGTGGGATGCAGGGAGCTGGAGAGAAAAATGGGAGCACCACCTTTCTTTGCAAAGCCAGAAGGTATGTCCCCATTGACCTAGATGTCTCATGAGTTTTTTTTCGCCAAAGGTATATTCACCCTCAAGAGTAACTTGCAGTTGTTAACTACTAAAACTTAAAACACAAACTGCTTTGCTTTGTATGCTTTTTAGACTGACATGACCAAAACATGGTTTCTTGATTGTCATTTCAGTTTTCATAGAGCACCGTGATGGAAGTTGGACTTTCCCGAGGATACACACACCTTTCATACTAAGCACCACCTTGTCCTCGGACTGTTCTTGTACTGGCCTTGTTTACAAAACAGAATTTTTTGAAAGGAGAAAAATGAAATGTTCACTTAAGAAGTGAAATATGAATAAAATTACAGTCTCAAGCCAAGCCTATATTATTTTTAAAATCAGTGAATAAAACAAGGGAAATTAAATCGCAACCTTTACCTGAACTAGTTCTTTTTTTTTAAAAAAAAAATAGTATTCCCGTAGTAGGAAAATAATTCATCTGGCTTGACTGTGTTCATTACCACATAGCTGGCCTGTTGTCTCACACAGGCACCAAGAAGATATGAAGCTAAACCAACAGACCATGATTTGTTGGCTCTACCAAGTATAAACTAGCCACTGGAAAATCAAGTTGAAAACATAGGACACATCTATGAAAGAAACAAGCCACAGCTTGCAGGAGAGAAAATGTTTGCAGAAAAACTCCAGCATTACAGGTTTATCTAAGGTGTGGTCTCCAGTAAGCCTCAGTAATTACCAGGATACCACAGCTAGTGGCTGAAAAATGTGCTTCACAGACTTAACCCTTTCACCCTATCCCTAGACAATTTCTTAGAGGAAATTGCACTCCAGCCAGATTTAGATTAAACAAGAAGACTTGTTTTTATTGTAACTGAAGTTGTTTTTAAACATTGCTACTACGGTCTACTACAGATATTTCTTAACGGTGGCCTTTAGCTTGTTCTTGCTATAATGACAGAGGTTTGCCTTCATTTTATGCTGCATCACAATTGAGAATCTTACACCACTTGGGGGCTTTGTGGTTGAGGGGTAATATGGTGTAGGAGGAAAAAGGAGCTAAAAATTGCATTCTGGTCTTGCCTCTGGCCTGAAGCAAACTTCTTCATAACTTGGATCTCCGTTTTCTTACCCTGTCCATGGCATGATGTGGTCTCTGGGGAACCTTTGAGCTCTACCTCTCCGTTTTTCTATTCTGGGTAAGTGTGACATCAAGAAGCAGTTCTTTCTAATTATAGCCACAAAAATACGTCTAAGTTATTGATTATCACACCTGGATTCAGAAAAGTCATAATATTTTGATTGCTTTGTTTTGTTAAATAATGAGAAAAACTGAAAAAGTATTTGTTTTGGTTTGAATTGTACCCAAGTTAAAAAAAAATCTTCTACCTACGTTACTTCCCTTGAAAATGACCTGATTTGTCTTACTCTGTGTTTTGGATTTTGACATCATATTAACATTTATATGTCCCCTGAGTATATTTCAGTGTTTTCTTTCGAAAGCATTTAGTTTTACATAAAATGTAGGGTTTTAGGTAGAAGATGCCTGAACCTGCACCTGTATTCCTTCTAGAAGCTGCGGCTTTACTCTGCTTTCATAATACGAATAGCCCCTTTCCCATAGAAACTGTGCAAATGCCTATAGCTAGTGGTCCATCAAATCCAATAGTGAGAGGAAAATTCAGGCATAATCTCATCCAGCCCCTCACATTTTGATGATCACAGCATTATAGTAATTAATAACTATCATTCTTCGGGTACTTCCTATAAAGCCAGATATTCTGCTGGGCATGTTACGTTCCTTATCTCATTCAGTTCTTAAAGCAGCTTCATAAACTAGGAGTTATTATTCCCACCCCTGAGAAAGGAAAATTTAAGTAACTTGCCTCCAAGTCCATACACTTAATAACTATTGGAACTGAGACTCAAACTCGGGCCTGTAAGATGCTAAAATCCTTTGATTTTAAACTCTAGTGTACAATGAGGAAATCGAAACCATGTAGCCTCAAGTTAGAGAATTTTGCATGCCCTGTTTCCTCTGCACGGAAAACTCTTCTCCCCATCCTCCATCCCATTCTGCAAGCTCCTACCTACACCTTCTTTAGATCAAATGGCCTTTTCCGTGTTGCTTTCTGTCCTAAGAGATGAGGTCAGTCTCCTCACCACAAGTGTCTTCTCTCATGGCCTCTGTGCTTTTCTTCCACCGTGCCTTCCTAGCGTTTACAAAATACAAAATAAAGTGAAACATTTTTGTGACTACTTGATTATTGTCAACTCCATAAGGACAAGGGTAGTGTCTGACATTTATCTTTTGTTGTCGTTAAATTTAAATAAACTTGAAAAAAGAATCAGTTTAGATTCACAGAAAGGCTGAATAGATAGCACAGGAAGTTCCTGTATATTCTGCATGGAATTTCCCCTATTTGAGCATCTTACGTTAATTACTATGGTAATTACTTTGCCACAACTAAGTACATTACTATTAACTAAATGATTCTTTCTTCAGATTTCACTAGTTTTTATTTGATGTCTTTTTTTCATTCTAGGATTTCACCTGGGAAACACAGTATATTCAGATGATACGTCTCCTTAGGTTCATTTGTTCTGTGACACTTTCTCAGACTTCCCATAGCTTTTGATGACCGTGACAGTTTCAAGAAGTATTAAGCAGATATTTTGTAGAAAGTCCAAAAGTTTGTCTGATGTTTCCTTGAAGTTATACTGAAGTTAATGTGCTTTGAAGAGGAAGACTTCAAAGTTAAAAATGCCTTTCTCATACACTGTCTCAAGGGTGCATAATATCAACATGACTTATCACGATATTAACCTGGCTGAAGTAGTTGTTGACAGATTTCTCCTCTGAGGTTACCCCATTCCCTCCACCCCTTACATGCTCTACTCTTTGGAAGTTCATTACTAAGCACATCCCATATTCATGGTGTTTTGTGGGGAAATAAGCTCTATCTTTTCGAAGAGGGCATATCCACATACATGATTTGGGATTTTTCTATATCGTAGATCTGTCTCCTCTCTCCCATTCATTTGTTTATCCAACTGTCTATATCAGTAGGAACTCACTGATATTTATTTATACTTTGGGTTATAATCCAAAACTGTCATTTATTTTAGGACTCAAATTGTTTCATCTTTCACCATTGGAAGCTCTTTCAAGTTGGTTCCTGTGTGCCACTGATATGCACCCTCCATCGTTTGATCATTTAAGCAGTTCCTTATTTTTTTGTCATTAAAAGATGCTCCTGGCTGGGCGCAGTGGCTCACGCCTATAATTTCAGCACTTTGAGAGGCTGAGGTGGGAGGATTGCTTGAACCCCAGAATTTGAGACCAGCCTGGGCAACACAGTGAGGCCTCATGTCTACAAAAATAGAAAAATGAGGTGAAAGGATCGCTTGAGCCCAGGAGGTCAAGGCTGCAATGAGCTATGATGGCGCCACGGCACTCCAACCTGGGCAATGGGAGTGAGACCCCGTCTCAAAAAAAAAAAAGATGCTCCAGTTCCAGGCTTATCTTTTATATTTCCTGCCCCAGCCTTAGAGTCAGTTAAGTTTTCAAGAATTTTGTTGAAAACTTTTATTGATCCTTTTATTGAAAAATGGTATTAGAAATCAAGATTGCTAATAGTGTGTCATTACTTCCAGGCCCTTTCAGGGGAGAGAATTAGGAAGAGAGTGTGTGTGTGTGTGTGTGTGTGTGTGTGTGTGTCTACAGCAACCCATGTATAGGCACATAGCACTAATTTTGCTCTTTCAAACCATCTGTGTCTCTATAAGCTAAACATGAGTTCACACTGATGTCTCTGAATCTAACCCAGTACCATGTGGTTCACTCTAGACTTCCCTCCCGGCTTATCTGTGACTTTCTGTGCCAGCTGGTAGAAATTTAGTTCTCATCATGCACCATCCATTTGCTGATTTGTTCAGTCGAAGTATATCTGTACAGCAGTTTCATAATTGCTGGCCTATACCCCCAGGAGAGAAGTCACCAGCCAGAGTACAGTAAACACAGTACTGTTTTGTTTAGTCTTACGGTTTGCAGTCAAAACACACTTTTTCACAGCTTCCCCAGGGCCCCCACTGACTTATTCACTTTTTATTTTAATTATTATTATTATTTTGAGACAGGGTCTTGCTCTGTCAGCCAGGCTGGAGCACAATGGTGAGATCATGGCTCACTGCAGCCTCAGCTTCTGGGCTCAAGTGATCCTCCTACCGCCACTCCCCAGTAGCTGGGACTATAGGTGCACACCGTCGTGTCTGGCTAATTTTTTGTATGTTTTGTGGAACAGGGTTTTGCCATGTTGCCCAGGCTCGTCTCAAACTCCTGGGCTCCAGCAATCCACCCACCTCAGCCTTACAAAGTGCTGGGACTGCAGGCATGAGCCACTGTGCCAGGCCACTTACTCAGTTTTATTCATTCCAGAGCACAGAACAATACTTGGCATATAAAAAGCCTTTTAAAAATATTTGCTGAACGAGAAAATAATACAAAAATTCATGAAGGTACTCATATTTTTTTCTTCGTTACCTTATAGTGAGAGTGACCGTGACAACTGATACACATTGCGGTCCAACCCCACATTTCCTATATGCCTTCGCTGATCTACTTTTGTCCATTGAACTTACCTCATCTACATATTATCATATTGGGGGCATGTGAGAACAATAGTGATTATTCCAATAGAGGCTGCCATTTATCCACTAATAGTTCTTGCTACAAGATTTAATGAGATATTCAACTGCTGCAATATATTTCGTGTATTTATTGCTCATTTAAAAAATTCTGCCTATATCAAAATATTTCCTGTGCCTTATAAATATATACACCTACTATGTACCAACAAAAATTTTTAAGAAATTAAACATTTTTTTTCACAAATATTTTATTTAATCCTTCTAAGACCCTGTGAGGTGGGCAGGATGAATGCCTAAAGATGAAAATTTGAGGTTCAGAGGAATTAAATAATGTGACTCAAATCACACAATTAACAAATGGTGAAGTTGGGATTCTTCTGTCAGCCACTGTATCCCCTGGGAGCGTGAGCAAAAGGTTGGGGATGGGGATGAGATGGCGCTGATGGAGTTCGACGTGGCAACCAGGACCCCGAGATACCCTTCCACCCCACCTCCAACACACACTCACCTGGGAGAATACCTGTTACCAGGGTAGAATGAGCATAACTCCATGAAGAATAATTCACGTCTTTAATAAAATTTACCTTCCATCAATGGTAACTACGGCTGTGATAAAGAGAGACAAATCTACAGATGTTTATGCCTTTTATCCATTACCATTGGCGAATTACTCTAGAGCAACTCAGAAACACACACAATTGGACCAGGTTTATTTCTTGGCAAATGGAGGAGTATGAGCTGAGGCCAGATGACCATTTTAAAGGGCTGTCATAAGAAAAATGTAAGTGGGGAGGACATGTGGATGAAGAAGTGATTTTTTATTTAAAAGTGGAAGTCAACACCTTCCCCCGACCGACCCCCTCACTGACTGACTGATTTTTTTTTTAACTTACTTTTTAAACTTATTTATTTATATATTTATTTATTTATTGACTTACTTTTTTTTTTCCTTACTTTTTTTTTTGAGGCAAGGTTTTGCTCTGTCACATAGGCTGGAGTTTACTTATTTATTTATATATATATTTATTTATTGACTTGCTTTTTTTTTTACTTACTTTTTTTTTGAGACAAGGTTTTGCTCTGTCACATAGGCTGGAGCACAATGGTGAGATCACATAAAAGTAAAAGTCTCCTGTTTTTAAGGACTGTTCCGTGAGCTGTTATGTTGGTTAATCTGTTGGCGAGCAGGGTCAGGGAGTAACTGGGGGATGATTTGACTGGCAGCATGCATTCAAATATGTGGAATGACAGATCATCTTGCCTTTTGCAAGGCAAGTTTATGTTTGGTATTGTAAAGCTCAATAATGAATAAATATGACTTTGTTCAGGCTTTCCTTATATAAATACTAACATGGTATTTGAGTCAATTCCAATGAGAATATGTTGTTCTTAAAAGCCTAAAGTGCAAATCAAAACTCTTTCCAGCTTCCACAGCACCCCTCAGACTCCCACCACCACTTATAAGTAAGTTTATAGCTATATTATGTTAAAACATTTTAACATAAAATGTAACATAAAGGATTTTCTGAGACATCTAGGCTTGGCCTAGTAGCTACTCTGATCCTGACAAATCTATAATCTGACTTTCACAAAAGTCGGTTACCCGTTTCTTCAGTAGCTTTCAGTTCTCTTCAAGATAAAGTGAATGGTAATGATTTATCTCCTAAAGGAGGCTCTAGCGGGATAATACGGAGCACCCTCTACATGCTGTATTTTGGTTGATATTGACTACACACATACACTTGGGGATCTTTTGGCAGGAGACAGGAAGGTTGGAGTAGATGGTAAAAGGGGGAAAGATGGGAGAGAGGATTCGGATTAGAGTACTGGTTAGCTATTGCTGTGTAACAGAGTACCCCAAAATGTTATGGCTTCAAACACAAACATTTATTATCTCAGTTTCTATAGGCCAGAAATTTAGGAGAAGCTTAGCTGAGCGAGGTTGTAACCACATGTTGGCCAAGGCTGTGGCGACCTGAAAGCTTAATTGTGGTCATCTGAAAGCTTAACTAGGGCTGGAGAGTCTGCTCCAAGATCATCATTTACATGGCCTATATGTTAGTCTGGGCTGCTGGCAGGCAGCCTCATTTCCTTCTGTGTAGACCTCTTCTCAGGGCTGCTTGAGTGTCCTCATGACATGGCAACTGGCTTTCCCCAGTGTAAGTGATACAGGAAGGTGAGGCAAAAGCCTCAGTGTCCTCCATTGTGTAGCCTACGAAGCCATCCCTCATCATTTTTCTATGACTTCATTGGTGATACATATCGGTATTATTCAGTGCTGGAGGAGACTACACAAGGGTGTGCATACTGGAAGCCTGATCACCCCCACTTCATTTCTACATTCATAAACTTAATAGTATTTGCCCAGCCTGTCTCGGTGCTACTGGGACACTCCCACGACATCGTGGATGTAGGAGCTAGACATGAAAGAGCATGGAAGTGTGATGCTTTATCATTGTAAGGGTCATTTTTAATTTGTTATGGAGAAAATACTTGCTGAGCACCTGCCATTTCTCAGGTACTGGGTAACAGTGAGGAACAAGACAGACATAGCCCTGCCTTTATGGGCCTTACCTTCTAGTAGAAAAGAGAGATCTTAGGCAAGTAAAAGAATGAACAGTAATGATGAAGTTGTGTTAGGTTTACATGTGAGAAAGAGCAGTGTCCTCTAACAGAAAGAAGTTGGGCACTGAAGCTACATGGGGGAACTACAGAATTCCCCTCTCAGGATTCAGTTTCTTAGCTGAGATCTGAAGGATAAGATGGAGACAGCCACAGAAGGAGAGCTCAGATCTCATCGGAAGAGGGCTCATTACCAAACAGACTGTAGAGCTCCTAGGCTGAATCCCATAAAACACCAGACTATGCATTTTAAAGGCCCACAGGAGTCCAACTTGCCTGTAATGCAGGTATTATCGTCTCAAACCCTAGAATTATAAAGGTTGTCGATTGTGCTTCCTATTCAGGGAAAACTGCCTATTGACCTGTCTATAGCGGGGTGGTATCCAAAAGAAAGAATCTGAAAGATAGTTCATTTAGCAAAAGTCTGAGTAACAGGATCCACGACTGCCCTCCTACCCTCACCCCTGCCCCATCACCATGCTGCCAGGCTTACAGTTTGCTGAAAAGCAGATAAAGCCCTGGAAGGGCCAGATGAGAAAACACTTAGACTTTTCTGCTCCTCTTGCCTCGATTTCAGGTCTTCGTGGGGGCCGCAGAGGGAGGAAAGAAAAAGGATCTTAGAAGATGAGAAATGGAAACAAAGCTCCATGGAGGCCTCCAGTCATTTATTCAGGACCAAGCCTCTCGCCCACATTTTTATATCTCTTACTACTTTTGGAGAATCTTTCAGAGCTGAAGGGATCAAAGACACAAAGCAAGTTTACCGTAGCAATGTTGGTTTCTGGGTTATTTTCTACTTAATTTTTAAAACCACACTCTTGTTTTAATTATTTCTTATTTTTGGATCAGAACAGTAGAGGTACTTCTTAGAATTCTGAGCTCTGCTAAGTAAACATAGACCTGAGTGGAGAGAAATCAGCTACCCTTAGTTTTAGGAGTGAATAAAAGATAAGGTAAAATATATCCTTAGGTCTTGGCTCTGAATCCTTTTGAACTGAAGTCTAGCAGGAGTTCCTTTTGCCTGAGAAGGTTTTTACAAAGAAATCATTGAACGCAGGAGACATTTGCAGACCCCATGGGAATGTGTACCCCTTCCCTTCACCCCACCTGTGTCAGAACAAGCCAAATGAGAGTACAGTACAGCACAAGCGTCTGGCAGAAGGCCGGCTTTGGGCCTGCAGAGGCCTGAGAAAGAACCCTAAAAGCCAACAACCCCCACAAGCCACCTTGTTTTAAATATGTTTTTCATGTTGATTTTAGTCATAAGAGATGATGAAAATCGAAAGAACACACTATGGGAAATCGCTGTAAAGCCCAATACAACATGCCGCTTCTTGGCCAAGAAACACACCTGACAAATTGCTTCAGGATCACGCTGGACGAAGCCTCGTTATGATTATTAGCTACGTGACTTAGGGCCATTTGCTATCTTTGATCCAGCCCACTAGCGGCAATGTTACAAAAAAGAAGCCCAGGGGACGGCTCCGTCAGACCCGAGTTCACACTCGGTTAGAAGCCTGGCAGGCTGGCATCATAGATACAGGCATGGTACTGATGTTAAGTGGGCCCGAATCTCAGCTTTGCTGCTTCCTATCTTTGGAGCTTTGCTCAACTCAAATCTCTCCAAGACTTGTTTCCAGTGGGAATGAAAACAGTACGTACTTCCCGGGCATGTCGAAGATTCAGTGAGATAATGTTGATAAAACCAATTTCACATAAGTGCTCAGTATATACTAGGTTATACTAGTTATTTTTATTATCTTGTCTTTATACTCATCTTCCTTAATTTCTAAAGGTCACTTTTGGGCTATTGGCAGGTGGATTCTACATGTATTACCAATTGCATCTCTATTATTTTTTTCACAATAATTTTATTGTTTTAACAACAAATCTATCCATCCAGAAACTGTAGTACTTACTCAAACCTATATAGGCCACATTTCTGGAATCATACTGCTTTTATGTACTTGGACAACCACAATAATGCTGGGAACAAATAAATGTAGACCAGTGTTGAGATTGAAGTTATGACTACCATTTAGGTGGGACGTGCTTAAGACAATTAGTGTACAATTTTGGGGAATCGTTTTAGCCCTCTTAAATCTTCCTGTGAGCCATTCTATCAGTCTAGGGATCCTTTTTAGAGACGTTAGCTGAAGATTTTATTATTCTTTAAAATTCATCTTAGAATATCTGGGAATAGTTGAGCTGATTGGAAAAGGCAACGGGAAGTTGAAGTTCAATGTAAATTATCAGTGTGCTTTAGACGAATTAAAGACCTCTTTAAGTCCCCGGGGCTTGATATGAAAAGCATCCAGACTAACACAATAGGTCACACTTAAATGGTTCTCTCCTTAAGAATTAAACTGTCTTTGCACATGCATTGGTGGCAGAAGATAATAAGATGCAGCTCCCCTAACCGAATCTTCCTTAAAGGAACTGACCAGGTAAAAGAATGGAGTTACTGTGCATGAAAAAAGAAAAATACAAAAATAATTTGACCTGCGAAAAGAATCAATTTTTCTGTGTACTGGAGCAAGACGCTAACAAGCATGACAGTGAGCCCTTCCAG